CGCCACCACCACCACCATCACCACCTCCACAAACCACCGCCACCACCACCGCCACCACCACCACCAAACTACCACACCACAACCACCACCACCGCCACCACAAACCACAACCCACCACCACCAACGCAAACCACCACCACACCACCACCAAACCACCAAACAACCACCACGACAAACCCTCACCACAACTACTACCACCACAAACCACAACACCACCACCACCACAACAACCACCACCGACACCACCACCACCACAACCAACCACCACCACCACAAACCACCGCACCACCACCACCACCAACCACCACCACCACCACCACCACAACCTGCCACCACAACCACCACAACCACCACCACAAACCACCACCACCACCACCAAAAACGCCACCACCACAACCACCAACCACCACCACAACCACCACGACAAACCACCACACCACCACCGCCACCACAACCACCTCAACCCACCAAAACCGCCACAACTACCACCACCACCGCCATAAACCACCGCACCACCAGCACCACCGCCACCACCGCCACCACCACCACCACCACAAGGGTGCCACCACAATCACCACCACCCCAACAACCACCACCACCACCAGCCACACCACCACCACCACCACCATCGCCACAACCACCACCAGCACCAGCACCACCACCGCAGCCCACCACCACCACCACCACCACCACCACCACCACCACCTCAGAGAGGCCCCAATGAGACGCCCCAGAGGCGCCCTGGAGGGTGCACAAATGCTCTTCAGATGCCCCCAGGATCCCTCCGACCCAGGAGGAATCCATTAGGATTCTGACCCAAAACCAAAGGTACGGTGGCGGAGCGTCGTCGTCATCGTCGTCGCCGTCGTCGTCGACGCTCCCCGCCGCCGTCGCCCGCCGCCGCAGGCGCCGGCGCCGGCCCAGAAAAGGAAGTCGTTGTCCCCGCCGCCGCCACCAGCCGCGGTCGACGCAGGCGCCAGCCCGAGGAGAGGGAGAGAGGAGAAGTAGGGGAGGAGGGGGAGGGGGGGGGCAAGTTAGGTGCGCTCGCGTCAACATCTGACATCCTACCCCTCCCCTCATCCCTTACCATGGCGCTGATTTTCTCTATCCGCGGACGCGTGTCGTAGCGGACCTGTGGCTCCGCGCGCGTGTGCGTAGTGGGTGGTGGTGCGCGTGCGTGCGTGCGTGTGTGCGTGGTTGTGGTTGTTGTGGTGGTGTGGTGTGTGTGTGTGTGTGTGTGCGTGTGTGCGCGTGTGCTGTGGTGTGACGTGGTGTGGCGTCTTGGTGGTTTGGTGGTGGGCCAGGTGCGTACGTGCGTGATGGCGGTGGTGGTGGTGGTGGTGGGTGGTTGTGTGTGTGTGTGTGTGTGTGTGTCTGTGTGTGCGTGTGTGTGTGTGTGTGTGTGTGTGTGCGTGCGTGCGTGCGTGCGTGCGTGCGTGTGCGTGTGTGTGCGCGCGTGTGATGTGGTGTGACGCGGTGTAGCGTGGTGGTGGTGGGTGGGGTAGTGCGGTGGTGGTGGCGGTGCGCGGTGGTGGTGCGCGTGCGTGCGTGCGTGCGTTGGTGGGTGGAAGTGGCGGTGGGTGTGCGTGCGGCGGGGCGGGGCGTGGTGCGGCGCGGTGGTGGCGGGCGGATGGGCGCGCGAGAAAGAGGCCCGCGCTGGGGCGAGAACGCCATCCTGAACGACGGAGGCAAAACACCGATCCGAAAATGAGGCCCACGCTGCAGCGGGAGCACGATTCGGAACGATTCGGGAGCAGAAATGAAGCCGGCGCCTCAGCGAGAGCAGCATTTTGAAAAAAAAACGCATGCGAAAACCCAACTCCCGGGAATCCTGTGTAAAAAACAGTACGCGGGGGGGGGGGTCGAATATTCCCAGGACGCCATCGGGGGAAGAGGGAGAGTAGTATTCATATTGAGTAATTGTGGAGGGGGGCGGTTCGAACTTGCCCCCCCTCCGTCACGGGAGGGGGGGGGGGTTCGACCCCGAAGTGGTACGAATTACAACCGACTAGGACCAATCCCAACCGTTCGGGGTGAATTGCAACCAGAAAAGAGACCAATTCCAACCACAAATGAGACCAATTCCAACTCAGCCAAAAATGAGACCAATTCCAACCACGGAGGGGATCTTCAGAATTCCTCAGGATTCTTCAGGCTGCGGCACCGCTCCGCGATGTGCCGTCCACCGATCTTGCAGGGTGGGCACTACTACTACTACTACTACTACTACTACTACTACTACTGCTGCTGCTACTACTACTACTACTACTACTACTACTACTACTACTACTATTACTTATTACTACTACTACTACTACTACTACGACCTCTACTACTACTACTACTACTCCTACTACTACTCCTAGTATTACTACTACTAGTACTACCACTTACCAGTACAACCATCACCACTACCACCACCAGTACTACTACTACTACTACTACTACTACTACTACTACTACTACTACTACTACTACTACTACCACTTCTACTACTACC